GTACCAAAAGTTTCTTTTTAAATCTAATAGCTTTGAGGCTATAAGTTATTTACTTTTGTGTGTTTTTGTCAGGCAGAAATTTATTTATACCCCCTTAGGGTGTAAGAGGTTAAGACTCCATTCTTGGCCTGTCCTTCCAACCATCCTTCTCATTTTCTCCCTTTCATGTTCATACAGTTCATCAGTACATGTTTAACATTTTCTTTTTCTCCATATCCTTCATATTTATCATTTTTTTTCCTCCCTATTAAATGTAAATTGTCATCTAAATAGGTATGACCCACTCTTAATCTGATCATTATTACTTCTTCCCTTCTGTTTCTCTCATTAATGAATCTGTTTAATACTGATTTTTGTACCCTATATAATCCTCTTCCTTTCTTATCTTCGTTCCACCTCTTTTTCCATTTCTTAATAAGTGATTTTCCTTCCCTTCCCAAAAGGAATTGTAATTGTTATTATTCCCTCTAAAGCCATTTCTCCTAATATATCTGCTTTTTCCTTGCCTTTTACACCTTCATGTGCTGGGACCCAACATAACCAAATATCAATGCCACCCTATTTAATCTAAATAGACTGTGCTGGACTTCTAATACTAAATATTTTCTATCATTTCCTTCTCCCTTAATACTTTCTGAAACTGCTTTTGAATCTGTACAGACCACCACCCTGTCTGGTCTAACCTCCTCTACACATTGTAAGCTTAGTATAATTGCTACCATTTCTGCTGACTGGAAGATGTCAGTAGTGTGGTGTTACTATATTTAGCCAAAAATGGCCACTCCTGGAATCAAAATTTAATGTTTTTATTTTTTTACTGATTAAAATGTATTAAATCACTGCGAACGTATTAGTTTTAGGTATAGATTATGATCCATTGATTATTCCTTGCTGGCTGGACTTTTCCTTTAAGAGAGTCATAATTATCTGAACCTACCCAAATGGTTTACAATTTCTCTTCTTACTTTGGCAATTATCAATTTTTAAATTATTTGGGAGGTTAATTCAAATTTTATTTTAGAAAGTTTGATTCTCATTTTAAATACACCGAGCATTTAAATATTTTTTGTTGTTGGTTTTTACGCCTGGGTGCATTAATATAAATAAATCGATGAAAAATTGCTACAACCCACCAATACTTTTTCTCTCTTCTCTTAATTACCTTTCTTACCTTGAGAAACGTGACCTGTTGTAACTAAGAAGAGCAAATTCCCTTTAATTTGCCACAATAGATTACTGTATGTCCTCTAAAAATATCATTTATGCCATATAGCTCATTACGGGGTGGTTTAAAATCATTTTGTTTTGTTTTATAATAAACCTAAATTAGATGTGTGTGTTTGCAACATTGAAGCGATCTAAATACCTGCACTAACATGTGATCTGTGTCAATGCTCCTGGGGGTAAACTGATTGCAGAAGTTTATTTTTGTCAAGTGCAAGAGCAATACAGCATCACACCTTTGGATTGCATTGGGGAACTCTGTTACATGACCTCATCTTTTAGGATTTCTCAGCAAAAACCTTCCAGATTCAATTAGAAACGTTGATGCATATGATTATTTAAACCACTAAAGGTTAAAGGTATTTTACTTTTTTTTTTTCTCTCTCATCAAGCCTGTTTGAGAGGTCTGTTGGGGAAAGGTGGACAGCAGACTTTCTTCAATTGTTGATAACATGTGAAACAGTCGGCCCCTAGTGGTAAACCACAGGAACTGCACTTTAACTTCTAGGGTGACTTAAAAGAGCAGACTGCTGTCTCCCCAAAAAAGCCACGAGATCACTACCTGAGCCTCCACAAATGGATTGAATACCCTCTTCTTATTTTGGCATGTATCTGTTTGAAATTATCCAGGAGCCTGAGTCTTATTTCATTTTACAAAGTAAGATTTGTATTGCAACATAAAGACAGAGGTGTCAAGTAAATAAATACAAATACTTGTTTACCTTACTCAAGTAGAAATGTTGGCTATCCATAATTAACTGGAGTAATCATTTTTCAGTCAACTTTGTGATTTTACTCCTTAAATTTCCATGCAATTATCTGTAATCTACACCTTAGTAACCTCATTAATCATTTAATTAGGCTATTAATTGTCATTTTGGGTGGGGAAAACCAAAAAAACATACAAACAGCACTATCCAGATGAAAAATTATGAGATGATGAGAAGAGTAAGCTTTTACCATTCTGACACCCTATTGGTTAATATGCTTTTCGTCTGACCAGAACTTTAGACTGATCACATTTATGCCCCACTTCAGCATGGATGTAGCAGAGGAAAAAGATCCTAAACAAGTCAAGCAGAATGCCCCAGCCAAGCAGCGTAGGCAATTATATTATAAGTCATCATATCCTAGTCATCATAAAACACATTATTCCTCACTAATCCACATATGGGTTCTTTAATTATATATGTCATATATAGTTCTTTGATTTATTATTTCACATAGATATATATAGTACATATAACCAGATGAAACGGTGTATTATTGAATGTTAAAATTTTTATATAACACACAAACTTTTGTACTTCATGGCATTTTTTCCCCCTTCGCATTACTTTTACTTTAAGTAGTAACTACTAATTTTATACTTAAAAGGCTGGAGCTATGCTTCAACTTCCTCAAAAGTATTTTTTAAATCCTGGTAACTATACTTTTACTTGATTAATGATGGTGATTCACTTTGACACCTCTGTATAAAGGATGTAAATATTACTACATATATCATGTTTTGTTTTTTCGTTAAAGCAGACTGCATTGATTCAAATCAATGAATAAATAAATGTTACAACCCAATAAAACTTTTTTTTTTCCTCTCCTGATTACCTTATATATTTTGAAAAATTTGATCCTTTAAGTCTTTTAACGCCAAAAAAGGGCATTAAAATAATTGCATGGTGTTATTGTACTATGCATCTCTTGCAACATTTGATTTACCTCCATAGATTACTAGAGGTCCTCTCAAAATACTGTTTATGCTATACCGCTCACAATGGGGTGCTTATATATCTATCCCCCTCCTAACATTTGAATTATTTTTTAAATTATACTAGATTTTCTAGTTGCATGTTTTCTAGTTGCTCTTAATGGTCCATCATGCTGCACAAAATCTATTTAGATGTGTTATAATTGGATGGCATTAGACTAAGAACTTCGGAATACCTTGATGCCTTATAATAAAACTTCATTTAGATTTTTTTTTATATATATATATATATAAGCACTCTAAACAGATGCAACCGATATGTAATCTGTGTCAATGCTCCTGGGGGTAAACCGACTGCAGATGTTTGTTTTTGTCAAATGCAAGAAGGAAACACCTGGGAGCTGCAAGCAGAATAAACCGTTGAAAAATGTTTTTCTAGCTGTGACCACAGTTACACAAAGACAAGATCACAAGTGACACATTCTTCTATATTGTATTCAACCCAATCAATTAAGTCGACCATTTCCTAATTTTTATCCGGCCACATTCTCTTGTATTTGGAAGAAATCACAGATACACGTTTTTAGAAGACAAATACTTGATTAGAAAACAATTGAAATAACTAAGGGAACAGTTCTATTCATTAGTTTAATCAGGTCTAAACATAAAACTATATCTTTACTAATCATTTCAAACCAGCAATGGCACCCTTTCCAAATCCTTTATAGAACGTATAAATAGGCTCCAAAATAAATTAAAGTAGCTTCCCATTAGTTCATATCATTAAGATGTCCCTCACTAAATATATAATAGTTATGCTAAGTACAAGCTTGAGTATAGATCAGACAAATCACCTTAATACCAACAGTTGGCTTAACAAGTCCAGTTAGACAGGACAGCTGAAAGACTGGTATTTCAAACTGCTTCGTAGCACCAAGGCTGCACCGGCAGCATTACCATTTTATTCCCAGTGAGTTAAGGACTAAAATATAGCTCGCCTCACAGATCTCTGCCATTAATTTTAGTGGTGCTAGCCTAGCAAGGTAATGCTTTTAGGTTAGCAAGCAGCACCAATACGAGTACTACGTAGACCAGATTAGAAAAAATGCCTTTATTAAATAGACAAAAGAAAATAGTGCAAGGAAAGAGTAATGCAAACTGAAAAGTTGCTCTTATGAGGTGGTGGGTGGCCCTTAAAAGGGCCTTTGGTTTTGGAGTCATTAGCCAGCTAGCTAGTACTCTTGAGACTGAGAGGAGGCCTTCTTTCCCGCTTTGCCGGTGCTCGGAGCGGACTGGCCGGTCTTTTTTGGCAGCAACACGGCCTGAATGTTGGGCAGGACGCCGCCCTGAGCGATGGTCACGCCGCCGAGCAGCTTGTTCAGTTCTTCGTCGTTACGAACGGCCAGCTGAAGGTGCCGGGGAATGATACGGGTCTTCTTGTTGTCTCTGGCAGCGTTACCAGCCAGCTCCAAGATCTCAGCGGTGAGGTACTCGAGAACGGCGGCAAGGTACACCGGGGCTCCGGCACCCACTCTCTCGGCGTAGTTACCCTTGCGTAGCAGACGGTGAACACGGCCGACAGGGAATTGCAGACCGGCACGAGAGCTGCGGGTCTTCGCCTTAGCGCGGGCCTTAGCTCCGGTTTTGCCTCTTCCAGACATGGTCACTTCTTTCTTGTTGTAGTTTTCTTTCAGTAGAATCGAAAGCTGCTCCGAATGGTAGGGAACGAGCTGGTATGACCAGGATATAAACCCCACTATTGATCCCGCCCCTTACTGCGATTGGTTGCTATGGAACGGAAGTGTTATTTGGTTGACTCTGATAGGTCACAGTGAAGAGAAAGTCAATGACGATTGGCTTATCAGTTCTGACATTAAGCCAATCGTGGCATACGTGTAGGGGAAATTTTAAAGGCGATTGGTTAGTTATTTCCCTCCTCACTTTTAATGGATGATTTGCTTGAGCGTAGAGACACGTAACCAATCAAGCGACTTCCCTCCAGCTTTAAACTTTTGGCGCCTCCGTAAAGGAAGCGTGGAAATAAATTAATTTATAGTTCATTCTTAAAAATACTTTTTAAAACGATTAATGTTCATACGGAAAACATGGAAGCTTTATCGATTATATGACGGCCAAGATGCATTTTTAATCTTTATTTTGAATTTGTTATGGAGCAGTTTTGCAGAATAATAAATGATTAAATGGAAGCCATTATATACAAAATAAACCAGCTTTATTGTCTATCCCTTTTTCAAAGATACTGTAACTTCCAAAGGTTTTCTTTTTCCTGCAAAATAAGAGACTTCAGCTGTCACATAAATACATATAGGACCACATATATATATATATATATATATATATATATGGCACCTTTTTAACATTTTTTCCACAGTCAGATCAATAAATTCAATCAATCAATACCCTTTGAACTCCATATAGTCCATATAGTGTGTTACACTTCCATGTGTTTAGGTTGAGCTTTAATGATGATGTCCAAACATAACAAAGGTTATTACATTATTTTGAAATTGAGGAAAAACTATTCCTTCTTCTCCATACTGCCACAATGTTCATTCCTTTTTTAAACCTCCTAAACTAATTTCATCACATAAACTGCAAATAAATACATTTATTTTAGTGGATTTAATGTGACAAAGAGAGGAAACTGTTTGCAGGGTTTGAACAATCTTATGCAGCTCTGTCTTCAGTCTGTACAGAGCTACATTATTTTGCTTGGTGCTATTTTTTTATTTATGTTTTTTGTTTTGGTAAATGCCTTTAAAACACCCTTAATTATTATTTTTCTTTGACAAAAAATAATTCTCACTTTTAGCCTTTATGTGAAACCACACTTTTCTTTTTTTATGTTTAATAGTTTATTATTGAGGTTGGAAAGTGGATGTAGCATTGTTGTACAAAGTGTGTGAAGATGAGATCCAGATAAAGGTATTTGTTTGCATAGTGTTATTTAGGTGCCAAGAGGACTGTGTAAGCAAATGCATGTGGACAAGAGCAGAACAGGACAAACCAGTTAGAGCAGGCCAGAATCAGGATAGCTACCCTCTACCACTGAAACCCCCAAGATCTTTTTACCCAGATAAAACAATTCTAGGGGCATTCATCGGTCTGCTGTTCCAATTACTCTGAAAGGCCCTCAGATATTCATATTAATTAGCATAATGACTGGTCGTGAGTGATGATGAAACTGCTCCCCCATGTCCTGAAGGGGGGTGGTAATTAGGTGGCCAAAAGACTACCAACAAACTATATTGCTGGTCACTTTTTTCAACAAGATTGAGAGGACTCAACTGTATGTTTTGCTTGCAATGTTCTACAGATTTAATACAAAAACAGTGGCCTGAGTGTTTGCATTATTCTGTTTAGATGTGGGAGTAAAAGTCATCCTGTGCATCTGGATGAAGAACAGCAACGGTAACTGATTCTTTAAGAGTTGGCCATCCAGCATGAGTGATCTGAGCAAACTCTGCAGAGGTGTCAACAGCCAACAATCCTGCATGTGTAAAGAGAAATTCAAGCATTCAACCTCTACTGGGTGAAATAAAGGAGCCTCTTTCACCACAAGTTTGACAGGCGGATATCCCCTCACCCGCTTGAGCTGTTAACAATCACCCCCATTGTCTTTTAAGGTTGTGAGAATAGGTGGTGAGAAACTAATTGCATTTATTGAGTTACATTTACTTGAGTAACTTTTTGAAGAAAAAAAAAATACTTTAAGGAGTAGTTTTGCAGCATTTTACTTTTACTACTCTTTGCTCTTACCCTTTACTCAAACACAATAAGTTCACTTATCAAAAACAAGCATGCTTTAAATAAAAGTGCACCATAAAGAGAAACGTTCTTCTTTTCTCTTTGTCATTTTTTGTTCTCAAGGCTGCAGTCTGCTGTGTCATTTTAAGGTTAAACACTATACTGTAATTTAACCTATTCTACACACTGTAACTATTAATTTTGTAAGTTTTATAACTCTAAAAATTAATTTTGAGTTGTTTAATTCACCTAAAACTTCTATTGTGTAATAACTATATGTTTATTTCTATCTTATTCTTTGAAACAGCAGAATTTTCTTAACACTTAATTTTTTTCCCCCATTTTACATCATTTTGTAAAAAATTAAATCAGTTGTTATGATGATGGGTATTAAGTAGATCAGTTACTCTGTACTTGAATAGCCTTTTTTTTTTTTTTTAACCAAATACATTTTTATCCTTTTACTTTAATTTCTTCAAAGGATAATTTTTACGTGTTCTTGAGAACAAGCAAAAAATAAGCCATGCTAATTTTTTCAGATACTCTACCCTCCTCTGGTTACCAGTATCTGGCTACAGTGGGAATTTACATCTTTGGAAATAAAAATATTAGTTCATGATTGTTATCCTTTGTTTTTCAATGATAGATTTAAAAAAAAAAAAAAACTTCCTTTGAAAATGAATAATACTAGAAAAAGGTCCTTGCAAAAAAGAACCTTTATCATTTACCTTACAAGACCCACAAAGGACAAACAGATTATTTTTCCACTGGATTTTAAAAGAAACCAGAGTCCACCAGTTCAAGTCCAAAGTAAGTGAGTTGCAGAGTTTGAAGGCGGCTGAACAGAGCGAGTGATAGACTCAATGAACCTTCTGATTTCAGCTTTCCATCATGAGGAGCTCAGGGATCTTTCAGGGAAAATTAGCCAGGTGTAAAGCCCTCTCTTAGAACCCGTGCCAACCTGAAGTTTCCAGATCAGTAAAAGAATATATAAAAGAAGATCATTATCGTTTCATCAAGACTTCAAGATTTTGTCAGATCTTGCAACTGTTTTGTTAACTGGTGGTTTTATTCTGTATATGCAATAAAGTGTCAAGAAGTTCTGGAGTTCTGAATACTTTTGCAAGGTACTGTATCTGTGAAACTATCCTCACATAAACATGCTAGAGAGAATTTTTTCTACAGTTTAACTCGTACACAACATTCAATTCCAGTGGTTCAATGTCTTCATTGAATAAAAACAAACAAAATCACCTATTTTAGAACAGAATGCTAAAATGCATTAATGTTTGAAAAATTATTTATTTGCAATAAATTATATTTCCAAAGTATGATAGAGTTCATAGGTATCCTAAAATCTGCACCAACTGCTTTACATAAAAGTCACACTGAGATGAACAGCCTTGCAGAATGCATTGAGTGGCTTATTTCTGCCTTAAAGCATTTCAATTCTGTTATACCGTAGTTCCTGTTTTATAGCAGGTTTTCAAGACAGCGGTGTCTCCATCTTTGGGATCCTTTCATATTTACCTGACAAAACTCCCTGAAGATTAAATCTTTTCAGTTTCTTCTCTTATTGCAGTCACTGCAAAAAAATGTTCCCACAAATTGCTAAAAACACTTATTTTCATACATTGATCCAATTAGTCCTTTATTGGTGCAGCAGTTTTAATCATATGCTAATAAAACATTACTGATATTTCACGCCCTGAGTGCAGTTTCTTTTGCTCCACACAGACATTTAAAATTTTGCCTGAGCTGAGCGACTCTGAAAGCTTTAATGAGAAAAATTAAATGTATTCTTACTGTTGATCTAAAGTTTATATACAATCACCATGAAGATTTAAAGTTTCCTGTATCTTCTAACAATGGATTTGATGCATGCTTTCTTTCGTGGTGGAATGATGCAGCAAAGAGGTGATGATTCATAAGAACAGGGCGGAAACTGGAAATTGTAGAATTTGTCTAATTTTGCATGGGGAAAAAACAGACTGTATAGGGCCATTTTTACTAATATTTGATTAGATGTTTCCATCCAACCTTTATAGCCTTAAAAAGCTTCTGGAAGAAATTTGGACATTTTTAAAAACTACTTCTGTCATTAATCGGTTGGATTTGTTACATGCATGGCTTTTACTCACAGTTCTACTAATTACAGATAGTTGGAGTTGGTAGTGTCCAAAAAGTGTTTATCAATCTGCTTTATTCAGTTTTAAATCAGTTTTTGTTTGCCTGTAAAAACATCTAACTGTCCCCTGCATTAAACAGCATGACCACAAAAAAAATGTACTTATAAATACATATATAGAAAAAAAAGAATCAGCTTTAGGATGTTAAAACCAACCCAGGGACCACAAAGATTCAGGCCTATCATAGAATATCCACAGCATCGGAGTTATTTAGGAGAATGTGGACCAACAGAGTTGGCCCAACATGAAAAAAAAAAAAAAAAAAAAACTCTGATTCAAAATGACTTAAAACTCCATAGATATTAATTTCTATCTAGGCAGACAGAATTATTTTAGGGATTAAAGACGGAAAAAGAAAGAGCTACCTACAATCCATGATGGGGAAGTATCTTTTTGATTCAAAGTGAGGCTTTTAATTGCAAAAAAAAAACAAAACAAAAAAAACACCACTACCTGTCAAGCACAGTGGTGGTACGATCATGCTGTGGGACTATTTGGTTGGTACTTCAACTTAAGCGCTTTATGAGATAAATGCATAACTGGTTGCTGAACTATAAAGCATCTGGAGTGGTCCAAATATTAAACCTACTTAAAACTTCAACAGACCGTGTTTAAAAGGCTGGCTTGTAACAAAAGAACAACCAATATAAGAGAGACCTAGAGAGCACTAACAACTCCTGTTAAATGTCCTCACTAAAACCGCAGCGAAAACCCTAGAGAAATAGCTGTATTTGCCCTCCATTTGAGCATCTAAGTCACATTATCTACCAATATAATGAGTATTTTGGCACTAGAAGATAACTATACAAATTGCACTGGAGATAAGATAATGGAGAGGTTTTCTTTTCTCACTTTAAGGGAAAATGTTCATTTTGCTTAGCTACTCAAATAAAGTGCAAATACATTTATTTTAAGAAACTTTTAGTTCCGCTTTTGCAGTATGCACACTCATAAATGCATTTAAAGGTCCAAATTAGTTATCTGTAAAGGATTATTGTCGTGCTGAGAGTCGTTTAACACAAAGAATTTAGCGTTGCTGCACAGTGCTGAAAGTATTTACAGTAAGGAAGTCCTTTTTGTGAATCAGCTGAATAAAACTTGACCAGGTTAATTTTTTTTCCTTTTTTTTTTTACTTAGATCTAGAGTTAAATCAATTATTATCCAGCAGGAAAGGTTTGGCTGCACCAACAAAAAAATCTAATACATGGTTTTCCACAGAAAACAACTTCATAACACAAATATTATATAAATACTACATGTTTTTTGATTTAGGGTATAAGATAAAACATGAAACCAGATTGTTTTAAGCAGATACGAACACACAGCAGAGTTCAACTGAGATAGATTCCTGGTAATTTTTCTAAGTATTGTATTTAAAATGAAATTTGCATAGAAAAGCACATCCAGGTATTCATTTTACAGAGGAATGCAGCTAGAATGACTTGGTTTTGGCAGGATAAAATAAATAGCACATTTCATGAATCACACATAATAATAAATTATTTTTTTTACAACCTTCAAAATTTGACATGTGCCATTAAAAAGAAAGGAAATCTCAGTCCAAAGTGCATCCAGTTATGTCACACTGTTATTTTTTCTACATAATTACAGTTTTAGAGTATTCCCACCACCCGTCTTCATCCAACGTTTAGTTTGCGTAAAAAAAAAAAAAAAATACAGCATTACGTTTCGTTTAGTTCTTTCCGAACCGCAGATTTCTCCTCAAAGAAAACAGAGTTCCCCAACCCCTTTTATATTTCTGTTTTAAAATTTTTGATTCATTTTAAAGAGTTTCCCTTCCAGAACAATTCCCCACACAGGAAATGATCCGAAACCCACTGGGGTTAAAAACTGATCCGACCCTTCAATGATCCCATGAATTGCTCCTGTGATAATCAGTTATCAACAGAGCCAGCTCCTCCATTGGTGGCAGCAGCCTTGCCTTTCGATTTACCAGACGAGCGGAAAGAGAAACGTTTGATGATGCGGCGGGAGAAACTGCCGGACTTTTTGCGTATTGTGCCTGTGGCTGGGGCCGTGAAGTTATTGCCCATGTTGGAGATGTCCTCATGGGACTGGCTGAGGCAGGGCTCCTTCTCTCTGTTTCGTCTGCGGAACAACAACTTGGAGCCGCTCTGGAGGAAGCCCACTGCAGAGAGTAGACAGCACCGAAAGAAAACACATCACTCAGCCATGCAGTTCTTCTAATAACCGGATAATTACTGATATAAACCCTCCGTTAATTTGATTTATTAGCACTAACGATGTTTGACAAACAGCAATCGAGTAAGGATATTGCACATGCTGCAGTACGGCCTCTAGAGGGCAGTGTTTGCTTATCTAGTCATTTTTACACAACAGGTACCGGTAAACTGAAGTCAGATCTCTGACAGTAAATACCTTGAACTGTTTACAAAACAATAGTAAAAGGAAATTAAACCAACACATCATGTTTATTATGTTTTTGTGTTAATTAAGAAAAGGAATTTAACTTAGCAAAATGAGCATTAAAAAAACTCTTCCTTCTACTTTACCCTTATGGTCCTTCAGGCTGCGGGTCTCCAAGGCACCAGCAGAACCAGTATCAGACTCCACATCATCCACAGAGGGGCGCTCCGATGCATCAGAGGGTGTGGTTTCATCTGGGTCCTGATGATGCCCCGCCCTGATGTGGTTGCCATGCATGGCATCCATGGCGGCTGCGTAGCCAGTTGATAGTGCACAGCTGTCCTCAGTGAGAGGAACCTGATAGAAATACAGGTGAAGCAAGGAGATGTGGGATGTTACCACATGCAGAGGTTTACGGCTTCAAACGGGACTGTTGGATGTTGTGGTTGTTAAATTTCACTGCCTTCAAATGTGTCTGTGAATCTGCTAAAACTTGACTGGCCAACTAAAATCCAAGATTAAAGAACTGGTCCAGAGGCTTTTGGTGATGCCAGAGGAGCTGCAGAGCTCAGGTGGGAGACTTGGAAAAAGTTAATTGTGTTTAAATAACACCTTTTCGGTGCATAACTGTACAGTATAATCTTAAAATAAGTGCATTTGCCCTTAATTTACGCAGGTAAATAAGATGATGAACTAATAGAATGAATATTTTGGCCCTTAATATGAGATAATTAGGGATTATTAAAGTACCGTATGTCAGATTCTGACTAATTTGATATCATGCACCCAGGATAAGATAATTTGATTGTTTTGTTTTTCTTATTCCATTGGTAAATTCTCTTTCTTAGCTGCTCAAATGAATTGAAACTACATTTATTTTGGGGAAAATAGACCTACTTATATTTCATTGCAGTAAATATACACTGCAAAAAGATCTCAATATCAGTAAGGAATTCTTAAAGTAAGTGTATTCACCCTATTTTAGTAGATAAATGGGTCTGCCAATGGAATTAAAATGTTTGACTCTAAAATAAGCTAATTTAATACACTTTAATGCACTTAAAATAAGATAATGAAGTTGTTTCTTTCTTATTGTAAATTTAAATATTATTCTTTTGGTAAATTGTCTAAATTAGTCATGCAAATCAGGGGAAAAATAAAAAAAAATTAAGAAAAATTCATTTAACCTTTGCTGTGTATTTTCTTATATGTAATCAAAAATCTTTGTATGAAATTTAGAAATATTACAAATTGGTTTCTTTCACGACATAAAACATTCTGAAAAAAATATATTCTGGAAAATGTCATTTTGTGCAATTAAATGCGATTAATCATGTACTGTGGGACACAGTGGCCACTTCCTGACCTTTGACACGCCAGAGATGATTAGCGTGCTCCTTTTGGTGGGTGTCTTTCGTGCCGCTTTGGATGCAGACTCTGTCAGCTGTCGAATCGCCGTCTCTGCAACAGGATCCAGGCCATTAGACAGGCGACTGCTCTCTAAGCAACACAAACACACATATACACACATCTGCATCAATGCTAGACTAATAAGCTGTAAACTGCTCAGGATATGACATTTAAGATGCAAGCATTACTAAGATTGAGTTTTGCAAACAGAAGCACACAGCCAGAGAAGTGTAAAAGAAGTGCATTTCTCTGTGCTCACATTACACTGCTGCTTGCGGCTCATACTTTGCATCTGTTTTGCAAAACAATATCTGGATTTTAGTGTGAAACTCACTGCTCAGGTTGGGACTGCTGCTGCCCTTCTCATCAGCTAACACAGCTGCTTTCTTTTCATTTACCTCCACTTTGGAGGGTGAGCGCAGCGGGGAATCACCTGGAAGGCAGAATCACTGCTATCACACCTGGACAATTATTAATCTCTGGCAGCTGACTGAGCACCATAAAATGCTTAACTCTGCAGACAAACCTGGGCTGTGATCAAGCTTCACTCGTGACTGGACTGTGGTGACGGTGGTGACAATGGTGCCATCTGGCATGACTGTTCGATCCACGTCGACCTTCTTTGTGGGGGTCAAAGAGGAGCGAATAGGCAAAGCATTCTGGGAACTGCGAGGGTCCTCGGTTTGTACATACAGCAGCTTGAGACATACAAGCATCAAAAAATAATGAAGCATTAGTGGTGATGTCTAACAGAGAAAATCAAATCGACCAAAGAGGTTCAGAAAAACATAATATGATCAGCAAAGTATCAAGCATTCCACTTTTTTAACGTGAACATTTTAATTCAGGTTAGTTCATGTCAGTAATGAAAACAGAAAACACATCTTATAGTGCAATAAAGTAACTTTAAAAGGTTTTGGGGTTTTCTTTTATTGTGAAGAAAGGAAGTTCATCTCCTGACTCACCTCTGTGCTGATGGTAGCATGTGGGGCTAAGCCAGGGCCAGGGCTTAGGTTCAGAACATGTTGCCCAGTTGGGATTTTAGACCGAACGTTCAGGGCAATGGAGGCATGTCCCATATGAAATTCTGTCATGGTTAAACAAAAGAAAATATCCCAATAAATCATATGAGTGCTACCTTTAACTTAAAAAAAGCAACAAAACAAGATCCTTTGCTGTTATTCTAAGCCTACTGCTTCTTTTCTTTATACCCAGAAGGTCATTGTAATTTTTGGGGACTTTCTTTAATAGATCAACAAAAAAGAAATATTGTTTTTCAAGGTTTTGTTGTTTCTGTTTAATATAGCAGAACGATTTTTGTGTCTTTACCTGCTTTGACACCAAATATTTCCTTCTTCCTACTTAGATTAAATGAGTAGATTCTGTAAACATCCATTTTTCGAGTCATGCCAAAGGGGTTCAATTAAACTGTGGTCTGACCTTTAGCTAGGTCACTCTACCATTACCAATTGGCAGAGGTGTCAAGTAACAAAGCACAAATACTTTGTAACTGTACTTAAGTACACTTTTTAGGTATATATACTTTACTCCATAACTTATTTTTCTTCCTACTTCTGACTTCTACTCATTACATTTTCACACAAGTATCTGTATTTTCTATTCCTTACATATTTAAAAGAAACCTTAAATGCTTCGGTTTAATATTTATAAATATCTATTTCACGTCATGTGTGCCATCCAATGCAGATCATTGG